AATCCTGGTTCTTGTCTGTAATTTCATAAATCCGTGGTTCTCCAGTGTTTCCATGATCTTTATAGGTCATTCTCCCGTACAAAACCTAATCAACTATAAAACAAATGGAACATGAAAAGCATATTCTCTGTAGGATCCTAGCCAAACCATATTGCCCATGGTTTCTGACAGCAAGGTTGATCATGGAATGGCATAATAGGCTAGCTTTTATGGGGGGGTTTTCTATCTCTGATTGATTGCCTCATTGCAACATTATTCTCTTTCTCCGATGGTGCCATCTGTCCCTCCTTGTTGCTGCTCTCTTGATACGCAAGTCATGGAAGTATCAACCTGCTTCCTCAGTTCAAATTTCACAAGTGAAAGAAATCCAGTATGTTTTCAAATCTCTCTAATTTACGAGCAGGTATACAGTTAGTTTGCCCTATTTGCCAAAGAATGCTGAAGTTCCTTATTAACCATGCAACCTCTCCATATTACAGTGCATACAATTTGAACTTTCACACATCAAGCAAAATTGCAATGTGAGAAATACATGCATATCAATAAGCATTGCTTGACCAAATAAAAAATGATGTTCCCAACAGAATCAGGAAATGTTTGCATTCTGCAATGATTGGCATGCCACTGCACCTGCAGATGTCCGCATTACATGCTCCCCAAGCATTGCTATACAAGAAGCATCTGTCTTAAGATAAGGCTGTACGGGTTCCCACGTCTTCTTTTTTTGAATCTGCAGGTGGTCACAGAAGAATAGTAAATATGGCATCGAAACATGGGACTGAGATCACTGATAAACTACCTAGATATAACAGAGAAACAATAAACTTTGCAAGAAATTTTAAGACAAAATATCACCTTTTCATTTCCTTCAACTGAACTAGACATATTTTTGTGTATTGTATAAAATTTGATAAATGATTTGAGTTGCTTATAGCTCATAAATAGTGTAGTTTGCTGTGAACTTTTTATAATATATTGAGAGCTTGTTGGAGTAGGAGGGATAAAAGTCGGATAATAGGTCACTCCAAGACTATACTGTCATTTTCCTTGGAATTACCATCCTTATGTTCATCGATTCCAAAATTCACTTCAACGGAATTGATGTCACTCGTTCCTTTCCATGTCCTCATTCCTAAACTCTAGAATGTGATTGAATTCTGTGTTGCCACATCAAAACCAATTCCAAATAGCTGTAGATCCCATTCCATCAACACAACCCAGAAAGAGAGGCTCATCGAACAAGAAAATTCAGCGATTCAATTGAAAATAGCCCAATATTTAAGATGGCAAAGTATAATGCATAACAACAATTAGGAAGTACAGAAGAACATGTAAAAGCAAAGTCAACAGGTAATATCAGGACATGGGAGGATGAAAAGAAAAGCAATCAGTGTCTGAGCTTAAAAATTCAACCATCATAAACAAAAGGATAGTTTTTGCAATTATTGAGATAATTTTCAGAGCCCTACCAGGCTTAACAGAAAGATTGTTTCCTTCATAACTAGATGTAATTAAAGTTTCGGAGCTACTAGTGCCTTTTCTATTACGCAAAAGTGACAACTATTCTTATGTCTCAACAAAATTTGCCCATAACTGACAAGAATAAACTTATCCCAATATTTTTAGCAGTAAAAAAATCATTGTCCTAAATTATAGATCTCATCCGCATTGGAAAAAGCTATTACCTGATTAGGAGTCGCAGGAGCAGGTTGATTTTCCTTTTCATCTTCTGATCCAAACCATATTCTTTCGCCAGGGGCTACTTCCTCAGGAGGAAAAAGAAGTTCAACATTCTCATGCTTGGCATCAGAAGCAGCCATGAGCATGCCGGGAGACTTGACACCACGCATGTTCCTTGGCTTCAAATTGGAAAGGACAATTACTTTTTTGCCCTGCATATATGAATTATTTATTACGTTCAACAATGTCAGAGTTCAAGTTCAATTCCTAAACATCATTTCGATTTAAAAACAGTTACTCCAGTCCAGCAGAAAGAATCTGTCTAAGCCATCAACTCATGCAATATTTGCAGAACATAAACCGTCTTGCTAACAGAATTCTCATTTCAAGGAGCAATAAAGGACAGGCCTTGAAAGTAAAGTATGAAAATAAATGTTCTTCTCTAAACGCCCTTGCTAAATCCAAGAAGACAAATTGACAGGGAAGACCAGCGCAAGATGCATCTTGCAGTTTTTTTTTTTTTTTTTTTAAATTATCATTAAACTTCAAAAACACCAATGAAACCTTGTGTGTGCGTGTGTTCCCATCCACGTGTTGTCAATTCGTTTATCACATTTGTAAGAATGTCAAATAGAGATCCTATTTTTCCAAGGTAGAGAAACTACGAATACAGCTGCCAAATACATTGAGTACGAATCAAATTATCAATTTTAAACAAGAATTTTCTCATTTATCAAAATATAAATGCTACTAGTAAAGGCTCAGCAATCAAACCTTATAACAAGCTGACATCGAAAAATTACCTCAAGATGGTCAAGAGGAATGTATTTGACAAGGCCACTGCAAATGATTCTGGGCTCTGGCTCACCAATATCCACCTCTTCCACATAAAGAGAGTCAGCCTCCTCGTGTTTCCACGCCCTGAGAATTCTCCCAACCCTTTTGTCAAGCAAGCCGGCGGCGTCCTTAACATTTATTTCATTGATACCAGAAGCATCACCGGAATTGGTTGCGACGGATTCCACCACTGCTTCATCTGTAGAAGCGGTGCAAAAAGAAGAGAAGGGATATGAGATTCTTCTTCTTTCTCGGGATGGTGATGAGGAGATGGAGAAAATGGGGAATTTGGATTGAGCAATGAGAGAAGAACGAGTTACCAAGGAAGAAAAGGAGCCATAGGCCCTAGTTCTCCATAAGGAAGAAAGCGACAGCATAGTACTGCAGCCCTTTATAGCATTTGCAGCGATGGTGCTCGTCGCCATTGCCACCGTAGTCTAATCTTCTGTGATCTTTTACAGCTTTCCGGCTGTGCGTCATGATATGGGCCTGCGAGTATAAAAATTTAAATTACAAAAACCCTTGTAGCAAAAAAAATATATATTGGGATATAATTATATTTTTTTGCCTGAATATTGCGATATAATTATATGAACACCCAAGAAAATAAACCACTGAATTTTGTATTCAATTTATGCGTTGGAATGGTATTAAAATAATCTCTATTTTCTCAGGGGAAAAATATGTGATTTGGCCCTCAAAAAGTTATTTTTGAACTTTATTTTAAATGTCAGTGGCTAGTTATACCAACACTATTCTTTGATCTCCAATTTGATTTGGATTTTTCTCTCAAGATTTCAAAGAGATAAAGCCGCTTGGTATTTACCACCTCCAACCCTTAATATAAAAATTAGTAGAGGGTTAAATTTGTTCTTAAATATAATAGTCTAATTTATTTTGTTTTCTTTATTTATTCAAACTAACCATGTTGATTGTGTATGTTAAGTGAGTTTGCATTAAAGGATAGTTCTAGTCTAAATGCATCAAAATAGTATTTGTAGAGAAACCAACACATATTTTTCACAAACAGTTAACTTAGCTACTTTCTTGATCTACCTAAAGTAGATAAGTCTGACTTTTAATATATGATTTACTTAACTAATTTGGATATATTAAAGAAAGCGTTTAAATTAGTTTATCCTCCAGTCCTTAATATAAGATCTATTTAACTAATTTGATTAGATTAAGTACGTTAAGTAAGTTAGTTAATTATAAGAAATATGACATATTTTTCTTAAAACGCCATAATCATCTTCCTTAATATCTTCTATCCCTCTTCTACTTGATTATGGTTGAGGAAGTATCCATAGGGATAATTTAGAAAAACTTGATAAATATGAAAAATATATCTTATATTTAGAACCAAAATCAATATAATAATTGGATCCTATATTAAGGATCAGAAGAGTATTTGTTAAAAATATGTGTTGATTTTCATAAGATACCTCCTTAAATAATTCGGATTAAAACTACCTCTTGATACGAACTACTTTAATATATACAATCAATAGGGTCACTTTGGATAAGTAAAAGAGACAAAATAGATTAATACCTTACATTTTGGACTAAATTTAACCCCCTACTAGCTTTTATATTAGAACCGAAAATAATATTAAGATGCATTAAGGTGGGGGAAAACCTCCCATATCTGCAACGAGGCCTAATCTTGCTGCCATATTTAGCTCTTCTTGTATGGTGCCTACAATCAGTATAAAAAAGATAAAATAAAATTTCATTTTTTAAAAATAAATTACCTTCCGCGCCCAATGTAATATAGAACACCTTTTCTACGTGGGTTATCCGCCACAACTGATTTAGAAGGTGCATCAAAGATACACAATTATTCAATTTTCTGTTCATTCTTGTGTTTGTCGTTTTCTTCAGAGACCCAATAATGCCTTCGTCTTGGTCTTGGTGTTTGAAGAAACCCACAAATTCTATAGTACGTGGTATAAGCATTTTGAAAAAATAAACTTCAATCAAAACAAATAAAGAGAAAGAGAGGTTCTCATCACAAGTCATAACCATGTGCAGGTACCTTCCTGGTTCAATAACTTTCAACTATCACAAAACACGCAACATTTTTTTTTTTGAAATTTTACATCAAACACCGTTGGATTAGGATAAAGGTAAAAAGGAACAAAACATCTAGAAATGAAGTCCACAAGACAAACAATATGCAAAACAAAAAAACAACAGAAACAAAGAAACAAAATAGAAGAACCATTGTATCCATTAAACTCAACAACAATTCAGAACCTCCTAACACTTTTAGTATCTTCTTCCAATATATAGGAAAAAGAAGGCGATGGCACAGAAATCCGCCCCTATCAAGCTCACCCCCTTGCACATATTCCCTGCAGTAAAGCCAGCAATTAAGCAAATCTTACTAATAATAATGGAAAGAGACATATTATAGGGAGAAGCAAAAAGTATAGACACATTATACACAGATAGGAGGAGGAATGCAAATACCTCAAAAATTATCGTCTGTGACGGGGCTTCATTTTGCTGCCATGATTGATTCTTGTTCTACGCATCAACACAAAAAATTTTACAATGACCGCTTCCACAAAATCAAAGTAAGCATCACTCCAAGATCTCTTCATCGCTAATATGAGAAAAGGTACTAAAAGCCCGGTAGCAAATCCCAATCCAACACTCAAGTAAAACCACTTATCAATGAGCCCATCAGAATCATCTCCTTCATCATTGCCTGCTGCCCTGTTAGAACCATTAACATGACCATAACCATTACGTAGGCACCTCACGGGAAGGGGACAACCATAGAGATCAGGGTTCCCAACAAATGAAGATGCTTCAAAAGTTGTTGTGTGACCTGTGTAAGGGATGGGACCTGAAAGGTTGTTGAAGGACAAATTCAAGTAGCCCAAAAATGATAAGGAAGACAAGTTTTGAGGAATAGACCCAGTGAGTTGATTACTTGAGAGATCAAGGGATGATAGCTGAATCATATTTGATATGCTTTCTGGAATGCTGCCGATTAGGTGATTTCCTGATAGGTTCAAATAGGTTAGACCAGATAGTTTTGTCAATTCATGGGGAATTCTTCCAGACAAGTTGTTTCCAGAAAGATCTATACTGGTGACAAGATAAAGAGTGGTGGTGTAGGTCAATGACTGCCCTTTTGCATTCACAACCAACCTATCTTGATATTTCCCTCCATCATGATTTGACCATATTAACCCACCTGATGGTATATTGCTCGTATCGATCGGTTGTACATCTGCCTCCATTAAACCTCTTTTCCTTGGGGTCAATGCTTTAAGATCACCAAAGCTGGCTGGAATTTTACCGCTCAAGTCATTCTCCCCAAGATCTAGGACTTGCAATGAACTTAGTTTTGAGAGCTCATGAGGTATTTCTCCAAAGAATGCATTGGATCTTAAGTCAAGAATTGCAAGATTGCCAAATCCGTCTCCAATCCAAGAAGGAATTCCACCAAAAAGTTCATTGTTACCAAGGTCCAAGGTCTGCAAAGAGGATAAGTTCATGAACGATGGTGGTAAATTTCCCGAGAGCCGGTTGTCACTTAGGTGCAATAATCTGAGCCGTTGCAATTGACCTAAGGAATTTGGAATAGCCCCAGACAAGTTGTTGTTGCTGAGGTCTAGTTTTTCCAACATAGAACAATTTCTAAGGCTTGAAGGGATCCTTCCCATGAAGTTGTTGCTTGAAAGATCAATGGTCAAAAGAGAATCACACTTCTCCCATATAGACTTTGGTATTTGTCCAGAAAATTGATTTTGGGAAAGAGATAAGAAACTAAAATAAGTCATTCTCATCCAAAACCAATTTGGTATAGAATCTGAAATGCTAGCATTTGAAAGGTCCAAAATGTTTATCCCTTTTTGTGACCGGAGCCAAGATGGAAATGAAGGTCCCAAAATGCATGACTTCATTATAAGTGCTTTAACTTGGAATGGAGGCATCCAATTGGAGCTGATGTTCACAATGAATAAATTGGAGGATAAGTCTAAGTATGTCAGATTGATCAACTTTGAAAAATGAATTTGAGATATTATGCCTCCCAATTGATTAGAAGAAATATCAAGTTCTGATAGGAAAGAAAGTTGTCCTAAACTTTCTGGGAGAGTCCCATCAAGTTTATTCTTTTGAAGATTCAAGATAACAAGATTTCGCAACGATCCGAAAGAAGTAGGGATATGTCCTTGAAACAAATTATCACTAAGGTCAAGACTAACTATATTTTCTAGTTGACCTATCCAATATGGGATTTTACCGCTCAATTTATTGATGCCCAAAACAAAATATTGCAAATCATGTAGAGGTTTCTTAAAAGGGCAAGTTTGTGTTCCTTCAAGAATTTCAGGTAGATTTTCTGTCATATTATTCCTCGATAAAGAAAAACTATTCAAGTTGCAAAGTTTTCCAGTAGAGCTGGGAATACCACCCTCAATAGCATTAGAATCAAGATCAAGTCTAGTGAGAGAAGTCATGTCTCCCAAAGACAAGGGAAGTTTTCCATACACCATGTTTTCTCTAAAATTAATAACTTGTATCTTTTCCCATCTTTTTTGAAAGAGTTGGGAACAGTTTGCTGTAAGATCATAATTCTGACTTAAATCCAACGACAATAAATTTGGCATTTCTCCTAGACCAAGCGGTATTCTTCCATGCAGGTTACTTTCTGTCATATCAATATGTTGCAAGCTACTTATATTTACAAGCCAATCGGGTATCTTTGAATAGAAGTTGTTAAAGCTAAGATCCATGACAACAAGTGAAGAAAAATTCAAAGAAGGCACTGATGGAATATAACCAGACAAGTAACAACCAGATAGATGCAATTCAACGATAGAAGGAAGTTGATTTAATGCACCAGCCCAGTCTTTCACCAACGAAAGGTTAACCTGATTCATAACAAGGTGTTCTAAAGAGACGAGGCCAATTATCCATTGGAAATTATCAGCATACAATTCATTCGATAAGTCGACACTCTTATCAAGATCAAGAACTTTCAAGTGAGATAAGTTTCCCAAATGTGCAGGAATGAGGCCACTAAAACCAGCATTTGACAAGTTCAAATACTGCAAATTCTCCAATGAACCAAAGAATTCAGGTATTGAAATGCCATCAAATTCATTAAAACTCAAGTCTAAAAGCCTTAATGACTTGAGCTTCATCAAAGATGGTCTTATCTTACCGCTCAAGCTCCAGAACGCATAACTTTTATAAGATGAATATCCAAACCCATACGGATTGTGGAGATCAACTGCAACAACTGCTTTTGTACTGTTGTCGCACTCTATTCCATGCCATTCACAACAGTTACTGCCCCTCCATGAAGATAGCACATTATTTGGATCATGAATCCCAGTTTTGAAGTCCACGAGAGCATCACGATCAGAGGCCAAGCAAGTAACCAAGTGGCCATCACTGCTCCCAGCGGAAACTGAGATTACTAAGTCGCAAAGTGAGAGTAAGAACAACTCAATTACTGGTAGTTTTCCCATTGAAATATCTTTATCTCTGGCAAGCTATGGTTGTAGACCAAGCTACACATCTCAGTACCATACATATAGACCCACGCACAAAGCATGCCCTTTGTTTACGCGTAACAACATACATGTTACTGAAATATTTGTTATTTTGTTCAGTGTTAAATGGCCGACAAGTGAACATTATTTTAAGACGGGTTGAAAAAAAGCAGTATCATATAAAATCAACTAATAGGTATAGGTTCAGTCCGCGGCAGACAAAGATATCGTGTACACCCATCTCGAGAACTAAGTTAAAAGTTATTCCAAAGCTAGTCCCCCCCCCCCCCCCGGGGAAGTTACCCACCACCTTCTGCTGCAATTTTCCATGTAGTGTGCATAACAACAGCACCATAGGCCCACGCCTATATAAATACGACACCGTCATTTGATTGAACGAAAAGAGAAAATGGTGATTTAATTTGTTCCCCCCAAATGTGCACAGACATGATATTTCACAGGAGAGACAAAGTGAGAAAATATGAGTGGTTTCTTGCGTTGTTGCTGTGGGTTCTTTCTGCAAGGACCCATTAATTATTTTACATAAATTGAAGAATTCAATTAAAAATAATAAATTATCAAAATTTTAAACATACATTCAATAAAATTTATGGATTATAGTTAAGAAATATCAAAGGAAATGATACTTGGAAAAACAATCAATGCTTTAAACAAAGAGCCTTTATTATGTAATACCTCCGGTCTTTAATATAAGAGTTCGTTTCACTGTTATTATGATTATAAATATAAGCTCCCAATTCACTTTATCTCTTATATTTATCTATTTTTTTCTAAACTAGTCCTTGCAATAATGATAGTCCTAGCTAATATAGTTAATTAGGAAGGATATTTTAAAAAAGACAATACCTATTTATTACAAATAAATAATTTAATTAATTTCTTAATCTACTCAAATTAGTCAACTAGTTCTTATATTAAGAATATGAGGTGGTATTAAGAATTATGGGAAAGTTTTTTGATAAAGAACCAAAAGAATTATTAGTTATATTTCACCCTAACCTAGTCATAAATCTTCCAATGCTAGTCTTCTTCTTTCATTAAGAAAAGGATTTTCCGAAGAAATTTAGTGAAACCAAATGTTACGGGTCAATCAATGTTCTTAAGCTTTATACTTTTGAAAAAGCCAACGCGGAAATATAAGGAAAGGGGCAAAGAAAAAGCCGAAGATGACCATGATGGATTTTTTTTTTTTTGTGATATTTTTTTTTTGTTGTAACAACCATGACGGAAATTTTACGGAAACAGTTATGTAATTGGTCATCGTCTTCATCACAAACGCTGATTTTTGCAGCTATCTCTCCCTCCTCCTTTCTCTCTCGCCTTTATGTTGGTGGTTTGAAGAAGCCCACAAATTCTAAAATACTGCCCGCGCCTAATATAAGAATTAGTTATTTAATTTGAATAGATTAAAAAAAACTACCAGCAATAAAGTCAACAAATAAATAAATTCTTGCCACAAATAATGGAAAGAGACGTACTATAGCGAGAAGCATAAAAAGTTAGGATCTAGTAGTATAGATAAATTATACACAATCAAAACTAGGAGTGTTCATGAGCTCAATAACCCCGTTTGTCTGCCTGAGCCCACCAAAAAATGTCTAGCCCAGCCAAAAAAAATTGGGTCAGGCTAATTACTGGCAGGGCCAAATCACGGGCAAGACATGCAACATTGCTTATTTGGCCTTGCCTGAAATTTATATAATTATTTGTGTTATAATATATATTTTCTATAATTATAATATATATAGTATAATATTAAGATATTATATTTTATTATATTTCAATACCAAAAAGACCTTATATTTTTAAAGTTCTATTTTTTTAAAAAAAAATATACTACCTTTTTTAATTTTTTTTGAATTACCTTGCTATGTACTATAATTGTCTTTTAATTTTTTCAAGTTGATATTACTTCATATATTATGAAATGATACTAATTATACGAACTTGAATGTAATATATAGATGTCTATAAATTATATTAAACCATAAGTTAATAATATAATTGAATATGTGAATATAGTTTGTATTTGTTTTACACGCTTTGTCATTTTCTCAACTTTGTGAAGACTGACTTGAATCATTTGAACTTTAAGGTTTTAATTACAATTTTTTATTGTCTTATTTTTAATAATTATATATATTGTTTAATTCTTGAAGCATGGATAGCTCTTAAGACATATGATAGTATTTTAAATTTCATGACTTAATTTGTAAATTTGAGCAAGGAAAACCTGCCCTGTCCAACCCCTATTAACCCAGCCCAAAATAGCTAAAGCCTCTACTAGATAGTAGGATGCATTTATCCTTCGAGATGGGCATCAAATAAGGGTCCTGTCCTATCCTGTCCAGACACAAAGAGAAATGCAAATAGCTCTAAAACTATTGTCTGTGACGAGGCTTGATTCTATGACCATGATTGCTTCTTTTTCTACACAGCAACACAAGAAATTTTACAATGACCACTTCCACAAAATCAAAAATCAAAGTAAGCATCAAATGTAGTATTATTTATATTTTCCCCAATGTAGTCGTAATTTTCCGATACTAGTCACTAACTTAACTAATCAGATGTAGTATTATAGTTTATCCAACCTAGTAATCTCCGGATGCTAGTCTTCTTTCATTAAAAAAAGGATTTTTTTTTTTGAAGAAATTTAGTGGAAAAAAATTTAATGGGTCAAACAATGTTCTTAAGGCTCATACTTTTGGAAAAGCCGATGAAGAAGTATAGGAAAGGGTTGAAAGTGTGAAACACGGTTTCGAACTGTTCTTAAGCTTTATGCTTTTGAAAAAGCCGAGGTGGCCATGATGGAGATTTCCTTTCCGTTTTACTCCCCCCCCCCCCTCATAACAACCATGGTGGAAATTTTATGCAAAGTTATTTTTTATGGGGTTCATATAATATTTCCTCATATTTTAATTATAAGACTTTATTTGTAAACTACAAATAAGGTCTTATAATTAAGAGCGAAATTAGTATTAAATAATTTATAAGGACCAGCTCTTTTATTCAAAATCAAAAGGGCTAGCGTTTATCAGGCCGATCATTTAGTCTTTTTTAATATTTTTTATTTTTATTTTTGAAGTAAAAATATATACCTGTAATTTAAATCATGAAATCATAACCTCTAAACAATTTTAAAATACTGATCATAGTCACATTATAATTTAAATAATTATTTAAATAAATTATATAGATTTTATTAACATCTAATTAACATCAACACAATGTTCAAAACTTAATAATGATAAGAAGGCAGCGAGGCCAAGAAGGAAGATAAAAGAAAAGACTAAAGACCAAAACTCTAGTACTCTTAAAAAATATATTCCTCCGGTCCTAAATGTAAGACCCTTATACTAGTGTGTATAGTGGTCTTACATTTAGGACCGGAGGAGTACTATTTTCTGTTTTAATTATAAGATTTTATTTATAGTCTATAAATGAGATCTTATAATTTTATTTATAGTCTATAAATAAGATCTTATAATTAGAATAAGAGGTAGTATATGAGAGGGTTGATAATGCGGTGTTACCACACGACTAGCGGAGGAAAGGAAAGTAAAATGGGTGATTATAAAATTTGATTGAAACTTAGAAATCAAAATATCAAATTCTTAAAGGACATCACCGAAATAAAGTTTGGAAAAAGTGCGTTCAGCCAATTTATTTTCGGTCATCCCATTTCACTTGACGTATGTCTAACAACCTTTTGAGATTTCAATTCACCATATTTATCAAGTTTAACATGAATAATTAAGAACCTTTACAATTTCATGAGTTTACGATGGGCAGTTTTGAATCTTTCTTAGCAAGCCCAAATTCCTCGAGTCTGTAACAACTCCTCCTTATAACCCGTACATAGTAACTCTTCTCAAGGTACAACCACCTTAGGTAATATTACCTCCCATTTTTAATATAAAAATAAATTTGACATTATTTTCAGTCCTTAATATAAATATAAGAGTTTGTTTAATTTTTATTTTGATTCTAAATATAAAATTTCAATCTACTTTGTCTCCCATATTTATCTATTTTTTTCAAAATAGCCTTTGTCATAATGATAGTTATAGCTAATACACTTGATTGGTAAGGATATTTTAGGAAAGACAACACCTATTTATTATAAATAACTAGTTTAAGAAAAAAATTTAATCTACTCAAATTAATCAATTAGCTGTTATATTAAGGATCATAGGTAGTATTCAATTTGATTTCAAATATAATACCATAATCCATTTTGTCTCTCATATTTATCTTTTTTTTTAATATAGTTTTTATAATAGTTACATATGTTAACAATTTTATCAAATAGTAGTTTTAGCTAATACACATGATTAACAAGAGTATTTTAGAAAATATAATACCTATTTATTATAAATAATTAACTTAACTAATTTTTTTAATTTTTTTAAATTAGTTAATAACTCTTATATTAAGAATTGGAGGGTGGTGTTGTAAAAAAGAATGAGTGTTTACAGCAATATCTCTCATACTTCAATAGACGATTAGCACTAATGCGCACAGAGCATAAGCAAAGAGGTTTTGAATACAACCGGTAAAAATTGATTATATTTTTTAAAAATAGTTTCAATTAACCAAAGTTGTGCTACTTGTATTTTTATTTGTTGTTAGTTAATTTTTCTTTTGTGCTACATATATATTACCTCCAGCACTTAACATAGAAGTTAGTTGACTAATTTAAGTAGATTAAAAAAACTAGTTAAATTAATTATTTATAATAAATAGGTATTATCTTTTTTAAAATTTTCTTGTTAATCAAGTGTATTGGCCTAAAACTACTACTCCTCCGGTCCTAAATATAAAAAAATTATACACACTAGTATAAAGGTCTTATACTTAGGATCGGAGGAGTATTATTATAAGGACTATTTTGAGAAAAAATAGATAAACATAAAAGACAAAGTGGATTGGGTTCTTATATTTAAGACTAA